AATCCTATTTAAATTCATTTAATTGATGAATTAAAAAGTAAAATTTTTAATTTGTACAGGTGGCATCCACATAATTTCCACCTCATTTATAATATTATTTGTATAAAAAATAATCAAATGATTCGTTAGTTAACCTGCCACGTCAGCAAAAATTTAACGGAGGGACTAAAAAGGGGCCGGATTTCAAACTGTAAGGACCAAAAAAGGGATTTTTTCGGTATATGGACTAAAAAGGGGCTTTTTGCTATAATAGAGGGACCAAAAAAAGGTATTTAACTTTTTTTTTTATATGTTTGTTTGTCAATAAATTATCCAAATTGCAAGTTGTTGTGAGTGATTTTTGAGATTTTTTTTTTCATATTTTTTAAGTATTGTTTAAATGATTTCAATCTTGAAAATGGAAAGAACATCATTGATGGAAAGAACAGAAGCAGTAACCGATGGGCAAAAGAAGCAATTCTTAGTGGTGATGTGAGACTCATTTGAACGGATTTGGCACGTTTTGGCCACGATAGCATGACATGGCAAAAGTTTTGTGCATATCATCACTTTTTTAAATTTTGCTCTCCACATCATCAAAAAAAATATAAAAAATGCCACATAAGTAGAGTTAACGGTCCAAATTAACAAAAGGACTAACGGAGTGCATTTCGTATAGTTGAGGGATCAAAAAAGTACAAAATTTTGTTGAAGGATCAAAAATATGTATTTCTTAAAATTAAGGGACCAAATTTAACATTTAACCTTGATTTTTAATGTCACTTCACTTCCAAACATCAGCAGATTAATAAAAAATAATAATAATAACTGTTTCGTTTTGTCTGTTCTTGCTAACGTGCGCTTCTAACTTTTGAGTTTTGTCAATGTTGCTAACGTGCGCTTCTAACTTTGGTCCTTTTGTATATCTTTTGAGGCCTTGTTTTGCTCATCTTGCAACTTGTATTTCTTGTTGCTTTTTCATCAGCCTCAGCCTCAGTGAAAGAAAAGAGAGTTTCCACTCTGCAAGGTTCATCAAGCAGTTAATCGAGAATGGCAAGTTTTGTGAAACAATTGACGAGAACAGACGTTGGTTCCATGTTGGTAATCCCAGTTGCTTTCATGAACAACATGCCACAGATTCAAGGAGGACACACCATACATATAACGGTATCAGATGCAGGTGGAAGAGAATGGAATTTCGGATACTACGTTCGAGCGAACCAAAACCCGCGGCCTGTTCTGAGATCAGGGTGGTGCCACTATGTCCATGAGAAAGGACTGAGAGTTGGTGACAGAATCATATTTCAGCGTCTTGAAGGCTTCCCACTGCGTTACCGGATTGGGGCGAGAAGAAGAGTAACTATACTTCGTCAGGAGGTGTGGACCGACGAATTCTAATTAAGAACACTATGCTATATATATGTATGATGTTCTTGTATGCTTTCTGGTCCTATGTATTGTTGGGTATTTTCCTCTTCCATGTCTTCTTGGTGTTTTCCTTTTCCTTTTCCATGGGTGTTTTCCGTTTCTAGTTTTATGTATGATGGACTCTATGTTGTTTGTATGATGTTTTATGTATTCGAGGTGTTCTACTTTCATGGTTTTCAACTTTGAATTGTTTGAGAAACTTACTGGCATCGTGTTTGAGTTTAATTTGAATGTAAGAGTACTTAATGTTTTGATGACTTCATCATTCACTCAAGAACAATCATAATTGTAAATTGAAGAAAAGAGAAATGCATCTCCCAGTCTTTTTCTTCATCTTCTCATGGACTCCAATCAACTCATCAAATTAGGAAACTTGGTCGGTCGTGCATCTGTTTGGCTGCTTTGTTCATGTTCAAAATCTGGAAAACAGAGGAAGCACTGCGATGCAGAAAACAGAGGAAGCACTGCGATGCAGAAAAGAGAAATGCATTGATGAAAGAAAGAAAATGTATATTTAAAATGTGTTTAATCATTAATATTTATAAAATTATGAGTTTAAAAGTTTTACTTTTTTATAAATAATTTTATTTGTGTTCATTACATTAAAGTTGTGCAAATTTTGTGGTGATTAAAGGTTTCATTCACGGTACAATAGAGAGAATTACAAAAAAAGGATTTGAAGGTGTCATTCATGGTACAGTGGAGAGAAGTAGAAAAAAGGGATTGAAGGTGTCATTCATGGTAAAGTGTAAGAAATTAGAAAAAAGGGACTTGAAGGTGTCATTCATGGTACAGTGTAAGAAATTAGAAAAAAGGGACTTGAAGGTCTCATTCATGGTACAGTGGAGAGAATTAGAAAAAAAGGATTTGAATGTAAAGAATTGGAAAGATGATGAGCTAAGGAGTAAATTTAGAAGTTTGAAGGCCCAAATTGCATTTCCCCATTTTTTATTAAGAGCTAAATTTGTGAGGTATGCTTTGAACAGCGCAAACGGAAAGATAGAAACATCAGGGTTTCCGCACCTTGATCGAGGTTTCAACCCCTGTCCGACCAATTATGCGGGAAGAGAGAAAAAATAAAATTAATTCTTCGTGTTGCTACCTTAGTTACCAAATTCTCTTATTTATTTTTAATATAAATAGAGGCTTTCAAAATTAGGTTTAGTATCGAGAGAAGCAATTTTTAGATTTCTATTTTTTTTTCTCTAAAACTAGAGAATTATGTCAAAAAATAACTAAATTTTTAACAAAATTAATAAGGATTTTGATTGAAGAATTTGACTTGTTATTTTATTTTGTTTTTTTCATAAATTTTATTGTTTAGTTTTATTTTTAAGAAATTATTAATTATTTTTTAGATTTGAAAATCTTAAAAATTATATTTATAAAATTTCATATAAGATTAATTATGCTCTTTTTATGTGTAATTT